CCAGGCCGATCTGTTGACGGCTGCCTTAATGAGGATGCCCTAACTAGGGTTTCTGATTTTGGACAGATCGTCCAGGACAATCTTACGATCATCCTGGCCGATGTTACCAAAAATAGAAATCATATAGGGAGCAAGAGAATTTCTACCAAGTTATAGCCACACCAAATACAACAGACTCAAGAAAGTAAAAAGATTACAAACTGACACAGACCTAGTCTACCCAATCTTGAACTGGTTCCAGATTGCAGTCTGATCGTGTGGACCTGAAACGTTAGCACATAAGACAATCATAGAGAAATAAGGAATGTTTGCTATCATCAAAATCATAAACCATAGATCCGTAACAACACACACTTGAGAGACTTAGAATTTCAGTTTTTAATCAAATCGGCCAGGATGATATTTACATCGGCCTGGACGATCGGGCTCAAAACAAAAGACTTAATTAAGTCAGCCGTCATTAGCCAATCGTCATGGACGATACTTGTATCGGCTTGGACGATATGCTAAAAATAGAAAGAAATTGCCACCATAAATAATTAAGGTATTCTGTATTTTTGACAATTGGCCAAGATGATCTTGGATCGGCCTGGACGATATTTATAATTATGCCTTAATTAATCAGACAAATCAAGGAAGAAATTAAGGATGATTAATACGATTACATCGTCCTAGACGATCGTAGGATCGGCCAGGATGATCTATTCAAAATCCTTAGTTACTTCTGGATGATAAATATCGGCCAGCACAAATTCAGGGCGATGTGCTAGACGATCGGGATTGGACAGCTTGAATTCAAGGCGATGCTCTGGACAGTTTTCCTCTAATTTGAACTGATGGACCTAGATAATCGTGAGATCATCCTAGATGATCAAACCAATTTTTAATCATCCAGTTTGCATTCAGGGCGATACTTTGGCCGATCTCATGGGATTTGTACTGTCGGCCAGGACGATTTACATATTGTCCTGGACGATAAAGTCGACAACTTGCAATTTAAGAGTTCCTTTGAATCTCTTATATTTAAGAGCTCTTATTCAACATTTTTGAACATCCTTGGCTGCTGTCTTGACCTGAGAAAACTTAAAGGAGAGAGAGAGAGAGAGAGAGAGAGAGAGAGAGAGAGAGAGAGAGAGAGAGAGAGAGAGAGAGAGAGAGAGAGAGAGAGGGAGAGGGAGAGAGAGAGAGAGAGGATCTTGTGAGGGGATTCACAAGGGTTGCTCCATGCATTGTTCCACTTCTTCTTCCCTAGATTCTCTTATCCTTGGAAGGGTTGGGAGAGGTAAGTTCCAGCAAGAGATCGAGGTTCTCTGCCTGCTTCAGCAGGAAGCAAAAGGAGGAAGGTTCTCTGCCTTGCCGGGTGTGGCAAAAAGAGGTGTTTGTAAAGGCTTCTCCGCCTAGCTGTGGGGGCTAAAGGAGAGTCATGATTGTAGTGAAATACTCGGAGGGTGCCTCCGGGGAGTGGACGTAGGTCGAGTTGATCGAACCACTATTGAGTAACAAAATATCCTACAACTATATATTTTACCACAACGGTGGATAGGGCTACTAAATTTTGCATTCGATTGGACCAAGAAACTAATGATAGCCCTACAAATTGATAAGTTCTCAAAGTACTTTTTCAATTTATTCTGCACCTTGCAAAGTCTAAGTTTGAATATCCAATAATTTCAAATGAAAAGCTATGCATATGATACATGATACCTAAGTTTGGATTCCCATAACATTTCTAAAAATTCTTTTAATTGTTGTTATATGGGATATTTTTGGATCTGCTTGGAATCTAACACGGATAAACACTAAATATTATATTTGGTCTAGTAGCAGTCAAATACATAAGTGATCCTATAATTACCCTATATATTTTTTGATATATTGATTTTCCATTTACATCCTTATCTGATAGAATGGTAGAGCTAATGGGTGTGTTAATTACTTTATCACCTTATAGATCACATTTCTTTAGATTTTCTTTAATATATTTGCTTTAATGTAGAAAGGTGCCATCATCCCTTTGCTTCATATTAAATCTAAGAAAATATAATAGCTCTCCCATCGTACTAATCTCAAACTCCTTACTCATAGTTTCTAAAAAATCATTACAATTATTTTCATTTATTGATCCAAACAACATATCATTCACATATATTTGAATAATCAGTAATTCATCTCCTACTTTCCTAAGAAATATGGTGGTATTCTGAGGCATGTTTTGATTCAGCTTAGCAATGATTTGGATTATAACTATATTTTTTTCTAGACGATCTTGTTATATTCAGGCTTGTCAAATGAGGATACTCAAATGGACACCAAATTTTGATGTCCGTGAGGAATCTCCTATTGCCTCGGTGTGGATTTCTTTCCCCAATTCGAGGCTTCATTTTTTTAACATGCAAAATCTATTTGGTTTAGCTTCTATTCTTGGTACACCATTACAAATGGATCAAGCTACGACTTCAGTTTCCCATCTATTTGTGGTCCTTGTGTTAGTTGAGTTGGATATCTCGAAAAAAACCCCACTAAAATTTGGATTGATTCAGAATTGAATGGCTACTTTTAGAAAGTTGAATTTGAAAACTTACTTATCTTTTGTTCTCATTATAAGATGCATGGGCATGTCTTAAGTGAGTGTTTTAAACTTCATCCTCACCTTAGGAGGGAGAAAGAATTTGCCAAGTAATCCATTGTTAAGGATGGAATTTTGACTTATCATGAAAATTTTATCTCGATGCCTCTTATTCTTGAGGATTTGGGTACTAAAGTTCTGGATTTTATGGTGGATACCTTACAACCGATTTTACCTCAGCTTGAACTATCTTCCCCCTTCGGGGTTGATCCAGTTAATGATCAAAATGTGAATCCTACCTCAAATGTTATTTTATCTGGTGACCCTCCAAGCTTAGAGGATCATTTGTTAATTAATAGATCTAATATAATTAATGGGCCTTCTTCTTCTTCTATTCCTTACATTATTAACAAAAATGTTCCTAATTTGGTTGTGGTTTTATTCTATACTAATGTTACTAATAAACTTCTTTCTCATTATCTTATGAATGATCAAGTAACTGATCAAAATAGTAGGGAAGAAATGAATATTGTAATGAGCTTAGTTACAATAATGTGGAAGGAGAAGAGGCCCTTTTTATAGTGGCCGACCAGATAGGTTTGAAAAATGTGGGTAATTTCTCTGTTAACACACAATATTATAGTGATGCCTTTACTGATACTGAAGATATGGATATTATTGCTAAATGTTTTGCAAAAGATGATAATGACACTAGTTTTATTAAGTTTTTTAGTAAGAATGGGAGGAGAAAAAAGAAAATTATTATACAAACTCTTAGAACTACTCACTCACATACTAGTCATTAACCTTATTTTTATGTTCAACTATATTATTTAGATTGTTAGGGGAATTGGATGCCCTTCATCTAAGTTACATGTTAAGAATTTATGTCACAGTTATAATCTTTCTATTCTTGTTTTGTTAGAACCTCTTATTTTTTCCTCTGAGTTAAGTGGTAATGTTAGAATTTTGACTTTAAATATGTTATTTCTAATGTTGCCAACAATATTTGGATCCTTTTGAAGGATCCTGTTCATATTGATGTGGTTGGGGATTTCACTCAAGTTTTATATTGTAATAATGTGGTTTTTAATTCTCAATGTTTTTCCTCTTTTGTTTATGCTGCTTCTTCCCATTTTATGAGGAAAGTCTTATGGGAGCAACTTATTCAGTTTCGTAGTAATTGTAGTATGCCTTAGCTTGTTGGAGGAGATTTTATTACTATTTCATCTCCTTCTAATTTTATTAGGGGTTCTACCCCTATCTATCTGTCTATGGAGGATTTTAATAACATGATTATGGACTATAATTTAGTGGATATTGGTTTTTATGGCAATAAATTCACTTTGAATCTTAGCCATTTATGGCAAAGGTTCGATCGAGTTTTGTTTATTGATTGTTGGCTACATTCTTTTAACTCTACTACTTTTGAGAATCTGAGCAGAACCCTATCTGACCACTCTCCTCTATTGGTTTCTATTAAGACTAGGAACTTTAACTTACCTTCTAAATTTAGATTTCAAAACCTCGGTTACTCCATGATTCCTTTTTGGCCTTAGTTAAGGATAATTGGCATGCTCCTTTATTTCCTGAAAACTATATTATTGGTATGAAGAGGTTGTGGTTTAAGCTGAACATGCATAAATAGGCTTTAAATTGGTGGAATCACAATATTTTTAAAAATCTATTTTTAAGTATTTTACTTGCTGAAGATTATGTGAATCTTATGGAGCCTCAATGTCAGCTTACTCCTTTTATTAATAATTTCAATCTTTAGAGAGATGCTAATGACATGTTTTTTAAACTGCAAGCTCAGGAGGAAACCTTTTGGAAACAAAAAGTGACTGTGAAGAACCTTGTTGAACGTGATAATAATACTAAGTATTTTAATGCCTTAGTTAAAGGAAACGGGCTAAAAACTCTATTCGTAGGATCACACGGGATGATGGTTCTACTTGGGATGATGATTTTGAAATTGCTAACCATGCTGTTTCCCATTTTCACAAATGTTTGAATAAAGATTTTAGACATCTTATTATTGCTAGACATGACATTATTCCTAATCAAATTTCATTTGAATATAATGAGCTTCTCTCTAAACCCCCTTCTTTTGAGGAAGTCAAAGAGGTGGTTCAAGGTATAAATGGGGACTCTGCGGCCGGTCCTGATGGCTTCACCACTAAATTCTTTCAACATTCTTGGGACATTTTTAATAGTGATCTTTACCTTGCTATTAATGACTTTTTAGCTAGTACTACTATTCCTTTATACTTTACTTCTTCCTCTATTGTGCTAATTCCTAAGAATAATCATGTTAGTGACTGGAATGATTTTAGACCTATTAGGTTATGTACTTTTTTTTTTAAAATATCTTTACAAAATCCTTTTGAAGAGTTTAACTACTTAATTACCTAAGATTATCTTTCCTTATCAAATGGGGGTTGTTAAGGGGAGGAGCATTACTGAGAAAATTCTTCTTGCTCAAGAATTTTGCAAAGATCTGGATGTTAAGGTGAGAAGTGGTAATATGATTTTAAAGGTTGATATTACCAAGGCTTCAGATAACATTGATTAGGGTTTTTTTTAAAGATTATGCACCTATTTGGTTTAGATACGAGCCTTATTAATCTTATTAAGAATTTTCTTGAGAACACTCATTTTTTTATCATTTTTAATGGCAGAAGTAATGGTTTTTCAGTGCTTCTCAAACCCTTAGGCAGGGTAATCCTATTTCCCCTACCCTTCTTATTATTATTATTGATTACTTGTCTAGAGGTCTTGCGTACATTTTATAAAAACTCTCCTAGTCTCTATTTTAGAACTCTGGGGGCTATCCTATTTCATATCTTTATTTTTTCGATGATTTTATTATTTTTACTAATGTGTCTCTTAATATGATTAATAAATTCATTGACTTCTTTAATCATTTTGAGAAGGATAGTGGTCTCTCTCTTAATAAGCATAAATGTTGTATTATTCCTTCTAAGAATGAGTTTAATGGTCACATTTTGGCTATTAAGAATGATACTGGTTTTGAGCATGGTAATTTGTCTATCAATTACATTAGGGTGCCTCTTTTTAAAGGTAAAAAAAAAATTCATTTCTTTATGATAATTTGATTACTAATGTGCAGAACAAGCTTCAATCATGGGATTCTAATTTTCTGAGCTTTGGGGGTCGCCTTATTCTTTTTCGTAATGTTTTGTGTTCCTTACCTATTTATATTTTTCAAACCCTTCTCCCTACTCAGGCTGTGTTCAATAAGATTGATAAACTTTTCAACAAATTTTTTTGAAAAGGAGTTTGCTAAAATTCCAAAATTATTTAGTCTTCTTGGGACAAATGTTGTGGTGTTTTGAATGAAGGTGCCTTGGGTTTCAAGAGTATGGTGGATTTGGCTCAAGCCTTCTCTTTTAAGTTATGGTTCAATTTTCTTGCTAAAGTTAATTTTTGGGCTAGATTTATGTTTGTTAAGTATTGTGTTAGTAAACATCTGACTAATTTCTTCTTTCACTATGGTGATTCCATGGTGTGAAAAAGATTGCGTAAAATTAAATGGGTTGTGGAGCCCTACCTTTTATGGGAGCTTGGTACTGGTGACATTTTCTTTTTGTAGGATCAGTTATTTGGGGATCATTCTATTGATTCCCTAATTAATTCTTCCTCTAATTTGGCTGTTAAGGTGAATTTCTTCTTCTATGATAATTGTTGGAATTATGAAAAGCTTGTTAATGTGATTTATGATTATATTATTACTCAAATTTTGAATCTTCCTCTTAATACTGAAACTGATGATATCCTTTTATGTGCTTTATCCAAAGATGGTTCTTTTAGAGTCAAGGATGTTTAGCATACAATTAGAACTAAGAAGGATGTTACTAATATATTTACTTTGATTTGGCATAAAAGTATCCCTGTTATTGTGGCTGTAATTGTTTTGGAGAATCTTACATAAGTTTATTCCTACTAAAGATAATTTAATAAGAAGAGGCTTCATTTTACCTTCCAAATGTTGATGTTGCTATCACCTGGAGACCATGCATCATGTTTTTTTGTTGGTCCCTATTGTTGTTAAAACTTGGATTTACTTTTTATGTTGTTTTTCAATTGAACTATTTTAATGCTCATATGTTTATACATGCTTTTCTTAATTGTTGGTTCATCAAGTCCAAAGGTCATATTAGAAATCTTATTCCATCTCTCATTTTGTGGTTTTTGTGGTTGGATAGAAAAAATTCTATATTTAATGGTATTCATATGACCACTACAGAATTATTCTGAATGTGAAAGACAAGGTGGTTGCCCTCTTCTCAGCTAATCTTTTGTCTATTAAGAATGTTAAGAATTGTGTTTCTATTAGCATGGCTTTAGGGTTAAGCTGGAGGATGATTATTATACAAATAATCCTAGACTCATTTATTGGACCAAGCCTCCTATTATTCATTATAAGCTTAATATTGATGGTGTGAATATTGGGCCTTTATCGGGTTGTGGTGGGGTTATTAGAGGTACTACTGGTAATGACATCTTAGCCTATGCAAGGCCTTTACATGATAGTGATGCTAACAAATCTTTGATTATGGATTTGCTCTATGGTTTAAGGACTTATCTTTCTTTGGATTTAACTAACCTTATTATTGAATCGGACTCTACGTTGTGTTTTCAGCTGTTAAACATTGTTGAGGATTATATGAGAAGTTCTCCCTATTTTACTTGCTTAGGGAGGTTAAAAATTTACTGATTTTTTTTAAATTTTCCAGCTCTTTTATTCTAAAGATTCGTAATGCATGTGCTAATTGGATTTCCAATTGGAGGAAATATCTGGATAGCTTGACTGATTTTACTATTTCTAATATACCTACTCTATTGAGTGGCCTCTTAAGGATGGATGAGATTGGTATGCCTTATGTTAATACATAATTTATGCTTATGGGTGGGCATTTTTCTGTGTCTAGCCAATCTTCTGGTGTGTTGGTTCCTTTCAAGTTACTTCTTAAATGTTGTTTACATTATGGATGTTGGTTCTATTAAGGTTAGTCTGGTCTGCCCCGAGCTTTTGAAATTTTTGACTCTTTCGAATTATTGGGAGATGGTTTTTGCGGCTGGCTAGTTGCTCTGGAATTATTGGCCCAATATTTTATTGTGTTTTCCCTTATTTTGTTTTTGTTTTCCTTGGTTTTTATTGGTTAGTTCCTGTGTTGGGGTTTCTTTGGCTTTGTGGTATTGGGCCTTCTCAGGTTGTGACTCTTGCCATCCAATGTTGTCTCTGGAGCCTTTTTTTGTCTAAGGCTTATTTGATCTACTTCTTCTTGCTGGGAGATTTGATATTAGCTACTTGGCTTCATCCATTTTGCTTTATGGTGGTTATGTGGCTTTACGGAGGCTTATTGTTCCTTTTCGTATTAATTGGAGAATATGGATCCTGAACAAGTTCTCTGATTATTTTGCTTATTATCTGATGGATAATTCTTTAGAATATCCTTACAATTTATTTAGATACTCTTCGTGCACTCTTATCTTTTGTTGCCATCTTTCTTTACAAGGAATTTTTTGTGCAAGCATCGGTAGCCTTTTCTGCTGGATGGGAAGATGGAGCTTGATGATGGTTTTGGACTCTTCCCCTTTTTTTTGGGTGCCCTCTCTTGTGCATCATAGATTATACCTAGGCTATGTTGTAATTTTGATTAGTATGGAACTTGAGCTCCTATGGATTTTTTTTTGTTTAATTTTGTAGCTCATTCAAGCATTAGTGAGATTGAGTTCCCTTTAAAGACCTTGTACTTTTTTATGATATTAATGTGTAGGCCCGTTGGTGGGTTTCCCCATATATATATATATATATATAGTGGTATCTACACTACACATAACTAATAATCTATCCATGGGAAATGTACTAAGCATTTCATGTGATTCCCTCGAAGCTTACTTCAACCAATATAAAGTCTTTTCAATTTGTAAACATGGTTAGGAATGGTTGCATTTTCAAATTTGGGGGTTGTTCTATTTTGACATCTTCCTTGAGAACCCCATTTAAGAAAGCCCTTTTTATATCCAGCTGGCATAACTTAAGGCCTTTAAAATATGCAAAAGCTAACATTACTATAATGTCTTCTAATCTAGCTGCATGTACAAAGGTCTCCTCAAAATCACATCCTTCAATTTGACTATACCCCTTGCTACTAACCTTGCATTATTCTTAACCACTACTCCAAAATCATTCATCTTATTTGTTGAAAACCTACTTGGTACCTACTATACTCTTGTCCTTAGGTCTCCTAACTAACTCCAAAAATCATTTTTAATAAATTGATTTAACTCTTTGTATATATCCAGGATCCAAAACTCATCATATAAAGCAGGTGTATATTTTTGGGCATGACCATAGAAATAAATACATAATGACTATCCTCATTCCCAAGCTCAAACCTAATTCTAACTCCTATTGAATGATTTCCTATGATAATTTCCCTAATATAAATAGATGAGCTTCTTTTATAAAAGATTTTAATTTTGTAATCTTTAACTGTGTTGATAGGGGGAGCAATAAGTTAGCAGATCTTTGTTCTAGCTATGCATGTTCTAATTCATTTCTTTGGGATGATGTAGCTATGAGCAAAATCCCTCCTTTATTAACTTGTTAGAGGAGTCAGATGTTAGCAAGTTTTAATTCAGTTTTTTAGTACCTTTAATAAAGCTTTTATTCTTTCTTCAAAAAAAAAATGAGCTTCTCCATTCTCTATGTAATAACTCATAAGGTTCTTCTATATCACCTAGGTCAATAGATTAGACTCATTGGGTAACAGTTACCTATTCATCTTCTTCTAACCTAGGCTCACCAGATTTATCAAATTCATCAAACACGATATGGGTGGACTTCTCTACAACGAAGGTCTTCTTATTAAAGATACTATGGGCATTAACTATAGTTGAGTAGCCTAAAAAGACTCCTTTAGCATATTTTGGATCAAACTTGTTGTAAATTCAAATATAATACAATAATTTTGATAATAAAAAATATTATTATTTCTTTAACACTACTAAATTATATATTTATTTTATTTTCCCTGCTTACAAACCTTTCAGGTCCATAAAGATCACTTACAAAGCAAATCAGCTCAAGATCGGTTAGATTAGGGTTGAGTCTACTTGTAATTTCAATTAAATATTTTTTTTTACCTTTCTAGAGTAAAATCTTTAATATGGTGGACCCCAAGCTAAGTAACCTTGCACACACATAATTAGAGGGATAAATTTTTTGAGTTAGAGATTTTTTTTATTTTTGACCTAATCATAAAGGATGATTTGAAATCATATTAGATGATCAGATAAAAATAGAAACCCAGATTAGGGCATCCATACAAATTTTGACTGAATAAACTAATCATATTGGACGATCCATAACATCTAGGATGATAAGTTTAGATGATGAAAAATAGTAACTAATAATAATTTAGGTAATGGTTTAATTTTAAATTTTGTTCTAATCGTACAGGATACACATCATCCAGGATGATTTATGACAATCATGCCTAAATTGATTCGATGATTAGGGGAATAATTATAGTTAAATTATTCAATCATATCATACAAGATTATCCATTTAGATCATACTGGATGATCTAGTATATTTCGTAGGATAATCCCCTATCATCCAAGAAGAAAAACCATAATTTTCTTCTAATCATCAAGAAGAATCATACTAGATGTCCCGAGAGGGTTGTGGGATAATATGAAGATTGCCACCCATCATCCCTTGTTGTACTAAATGATCAATATAGAATCATGAATTAATCATTTTGGATGGTTGTAGGATCGTACAAATAATCTATACAAACAATTGTACTAATCATATAGAGCAAAGGTAATCATCCTGGCTGAAAGGTTATTTTGTACTAATCATATAGGATGATCATGCAGAATTGAAAATTAGGACTTCTTTTGGAGGCTCTCTATTTGAGTAATTATATTAACCCTTAATTTATTCTTTTTTGTGGAGTTAATCCAAAGAGAGCTTAGAGAAGGAAGAGGGAGAGCATGAGAGAGAGAAAGATCCTTGTGAGGAGGAGTTGTGAGGGAATCACATAGGTTTCTCCAAGCAAGGTATTTTCATCTTCCTGAAGTTGCTCCTCTGGTTCCTCAGTGGATCTGAGGAAATCATCTTTAGTATTAGATCCAAGTTCTTTGCTTTCTACAAGAGGGAGTAAGAGGATTCCCGGCCGGTTCTCTTCCTTCACCAGGTGGGTGAAAAGGATTTCCATGTTCTCTACCTACTCATGGAGGGAGTAAAAGGATTCAAAGTTCTCTACTGCATCGTGTTTGTGGAAAGATTTTGTAAGAGATTCTCTACCTTGCTGTGGGAGAAAAAGGAGAGTGAAACTTTAGTTTAGTGCAATATTTAGAGGAGTCTCCAAGGAGTGGATATATGTCAGATTTGACCAAACCACTAAAAAATTTGGTGTGTGATTTCTTATTACTTTTGCCGCATTTTATTTTCACACTTTTTTGTGATTTGTTCTATGATTGAAAAATATGATTGTATTACTATCATGAAAATTAATTTTCTTCCACATTAAGGGTTATTATTTTGATTTAAAATATTTAAAAATATCAAAAAGAATTTTCCTTTTTGTTTAAGATTTTAAAACTACCAATTCACCCCTCCCCCTCTTGGTTAGCCTCAGGCTAGTCTTTTATGGATTAACATCCCTCATGAACTTTCAAGTGGTATCATTGTGGGATTCATATGATCATGTTTTAAAAAACTTTTGAATTTAGATCCATGGCTTACTTTGGAAAAAAAACACCTTGAAAGGATATTCAAATACAAGACCACCTCTTTTTGATAATATACCTTTCAATTTTTGGAAAACTCGCACGACCACCTTTTATAATCAATTGATTATCATATGTAGATGCTTGTTAAAGGAGGTTATTCTGCACCTTTAAGATTAGTAAATGCTATTAATAATAAAATTATTTTTACAGATTGGACTATTGATGATAGAGATCTAGAACAACTAAATCTCTTGCTTGAAATATTTTTTTTTTTGCGCCTTAAAATCTGAAGACTATATGCGTATTTCCACTTATTCCACTGGAAAAGAAATTTGTGATGGATTATGCATAACATATAAAGATACAAATAAAGTTAAATAATCTAGACTAAATTTTTTTCTACATTATTATGAATTTTTTGCATGAAATCTAGCAAATCTATTTCTAAATATATGCTAGAATTTCATAAATTATTACATCCCTGCATGCCTTAGGATAAGAACTAACAAACTATAAAAAGTTAACAAGATTCCGAGATGGTTATCTTCTTCCTTTGATGCAAATATTACTACCATTACTGAATCTATGAATTTGAATATTTATTTCATTAATAAACTACTTGGATCACTCATTGCATATGAGGAAGTAGTGAATTAAAGGCAACTTGATATAGGTGAGAAGAAAAAGGAGAAAATTATAGCCTTAAGGGCTAATGATTATAAAATTACTTCTTATGGTTCTAAAAATAGTGATATCGCTTTAATAACGAGGTAATTCAAGAGCTTCTTAAGGAAAAATCAAAAGCATCATCAGAAATGGAACAAGGGTAAGAATAATAAGATTTCTAAAGATTCTTATGATGTTAATTGTTTTGAATGTTGGAATCTAGGGCTTCTAAAGTCTGATTGACCAACTCGTAAAGATTACTCAAGCAAGGAAAAGGGTAAGGAAAAACCTAAGTTCATGAAGGATAAGAAAAGGACCCAAAAGGCTTTTTAGGTGGACTCAGCATCAGACTCCTATAAAACTAAAGCAGAAGAAGTGGTAACAAACATGTACTTAATGGTTGATGATCACTTTGATTAAGAGGAGTTATATGAGCTTACTTATGATCAATTACTTGAAATTTTTAAAAAAAAATTATTCTTCAAAAAGAAAAGGTGATAAGATGAATAATAAAATGATAGGGGATCAATCCCTTGTTATTTTATAATGACGTCTATTATTTTCTGGATTTGTAGGGGGCTAGAAAGAGGGAGGCCTCCCTATATCTTAGGGAGATTGTTAAAGACAATGATTGTTTCTTTGTTGGTCTTACTGAAACAAAGATTACCTGCTTAGAAAGGCAAGATATTGATTCCATTATTGGAATTGATTGGGATTATTGTTTTCAACCTGTAGTTGGGTTATCAGGTGGAATTTTGGTGCTTTCGAAAAGATGTTTGGCTTCTTTTGAAACCATTGAAGTTTCATCCCAATTAGTTATAGGAAATTTGAATATCAATACTTTAGGAAGTTGGAAGGTGGCTACAGTTTACGGTGGTAAAGATGTTCAAACCCGTAGGAACCTTTGGCATTCACTTAAAGTTTGTATGCAGGGAGATACTCTGGCTTTAATAGGAGGTGATTTCAATTGCATCCTCTCGAAGGAGGATAAGAAAGGCGGTAAGAGGTTCCATTTCTCTCGTGGACCTAAGGAGATGAAGATGTTCCTTACGAATAATGATTTCCATGATCTCGGTTATGTGGGACCAAGGTTCACTTGGTGTAATAACAAAGAAGGTAACTGAAGGATTTGGGAAAGATTAGATAGATGCTTTGTAAATTCTATTGCTTTACAAAGATCTCCTATGGCCAAGGTGAGACATCTTTCAAGAATTGCATCAGATCATGCTCCCATCGTATTTAATATGGTGGAACCACAAAACCAGAAATCTAAATTCATTAGATTTGAAGACAGTTGGAAGTCTTACCCTGCAGTTTGGCACATTGCTGTTAAGGCATGGAGGAAATCTGATTATGGATCCAGTATTGAAATTCTGCAGAGGAAATTAAAGAGAACCTTGAAAGCTCTCTACAATTGGAACAAGAACAAGTGTAAGGAATTGAACTTGTTGAAAGAAATTTTGAAAAAGGATATTCTTAAGCTGCAGCTAGAAGAAACTAGTAGTGAAGAATTCACAACTAATAAATTGAAGCTTCTTAGAAGCAAAGTGCATGAATTAAATGTTACTTTGGGTAGATTAGCCACTTGGTGGAACCAAAGAGCAAAAATCAGATGGCATCAAGAAGGTGATAGGAACTCCAGTTATTTTCATCAGTTTGCTTCAGCTAAGAAGAATGGAAACCTCATATGGCAAATCAAGAATGAAGATGGTCAGTTTGTAGAAGATTTTGGGCAAATTGAGGATGTCTTCTATGAGTTTTTCAGCAAAAAAGGGCTTCAAGGGAATGTCAGCTGTCGGGCTGGCCTTCAATACCTACAAACCTATAGCTTTCGGTTGAAGAGGCTGAGTTCTTAAAGGTTGAGTTCACTAAAGAGGAGTTGATAAAGGCGGTTTTCAATCAAGGTAATAACAAGTCTCAAGGATTAGATGGTATTACAACATCATTTTTCAATTTTTTTTGGAAAATTGTAGAAGAAGATACTTTGAAAGCAATTGATAGTTTTTTTAAGACTGGTTCTATGCATAAGGATTGGAAGGATACGTTAGTATTCTTAATTCCAAAAATAAAAAATCCTACCATGCCGTCCAACTTTAGGCCTATAAGCCTATGTCAAACTACCTACAAAATTGTGGCTACTATGATTTTGAATAGAGTAAAGAACTGCATTTCCAAATGTGTCACTGAAGAACAAGCTGCTTTTATTAATGGTCACTCAATGTCGGATCATTGCCTTATTGCTCAAGAGATTTTTCATAAACTTAGAATTACAAAAAATAAAAAGGGATTTATGGTGGTTAAGCTTGACATGGAGCAAGCTTATGATAATATGAGTTGGGATGCTTTAGAACAAGTGCTGCAGATGTTTGGCATGCCGGGGAAGATGATTGGACTGATTATGGAATGTGTTAAAAGTTACATATTTTCTTTCATCATCAATGGTAAAGCTTCCAAGTGGATCACAGCAGCAAATGGGTTTCATCAAGGTTGCCCCTCTCCTTTTATCTCTATATTTTGTGCTCTCAATTGTTTTCTTTAGCTATGGCTCAAGATGGTCAAGAATTGGGAATTCAAACTTCACAAAGATCTCAAAAAATCTGTCATCTCTTATATGCTGATGATGTGTTGATATTCTCTCATGCTTCTAAACATTTGGCCACTAAATTAAGAAGCATTATTTTAAAATTCTGTAGTTGGACTGGTTTGAAAGTAAATAATGCAAAATCTCAAATTCTTTTTAGTAAGTCCATAAATAGAACTGAGAAGGTTCGAGTAAAGAGAATTCTGAATTTCAAAACAGCTAAAGAGCTGCATTATTTAGGTGTCCAGCTATTGCTTAGAAGATCGGTTAGAGCATATTTTCAGTTCCTCATTGATAAAGTTTTGCAGAAATTAAACTCTTGGAGCGGTAAATGCCTTTCCTTGGCTGGAAAGTTTATTCTTCCTAAGACATCATTATTATCTCTTCCGAATTTTGTCTCAACCCATAATGTGGTGCCTAAAAAAGTTCTTCATGAGGTATATAAATGCTGCATAAATTTCATTTGGAACAAGAGAAACGGTAAGAAGGGGATGCATTATGTAGCTTGGAGTACTCTATGCAAATCAAGAGATAAGGGTGGGATGAATTTTCATTCGGCTGTTGATAGAGCAGGGCCTCTTAAAGATAGATTAACATGGAGGATGATTCAAAAGCTTGACTCTTTACTTTCACGTGTTGTTACAGCCAAATATGGAAATAACGTTTGGAAGTCTAAATGCAAGAGTAATACTTCTGTTACTTGGAAAGTGTTAAATGAAGGAGCTAAATACTTAAAACCACTTTTGAGGTGGAGAGTAGCTAATGGTAGAAGCATTGATGTTGTCAATGATATATGGTTATTAGATAAAAGTTTCAATGAGTGACCTATCACTGCTGATTGCATGGGTTTGGAAGGTTTAAATCTCAGCCATTTTATAGACTCGAATGGATCGTGGAAGACAGATGAACTGCTTTTCTATTTTAATGAGAATCTAATTTTTGTGATTGTTCAAATCAAGATTGAATGTGATGTTCCTGACGACTTCATGGAGGAGATTCATTCTTTATAAGGAAAAACTATTACAGCACGGGCGTATGAGGCTCACTGCAGTAGCAAGTAAGTATGTGAAGCAGTTTTCGGGTTTGTTATATGGTTAAAAAAACTAAAATTGATGGCACGGGTGGAAATGTTTTGGTGGAGGTTAAGTAGAGGTGTTATCCCAACTAATGAGTTCCTGAAATTCAGAAAACTCAGTAATGATGATCAATGCGCTAGAGGCTGTGGAGAAATTGAAAATCTGGAACACATATCGGCTATGTGTAAACATTTGTAGGAAGTACTGAGGAAAATCCATGAATGGGGTATTTTTGTTCCAGTTTTTTACTCACTGGATGAATGTCTTAGCGAACTTAAATGGCTATATATGACTGCACCTAATACTGTTATTCTTTACTGCAATGCTGTGTACTGGAATTGGAAAAATAGAAATGAGGTAGTTCATGGAAAGAAGGCTAATACGATTTCAGCAACTGCAGCAAATGTGTTATCCACGACTTACTTATCTTCTAATCCTCTCATTGCTAGCTGGGGTGCTAATCTCTCTAGGGAGTTTCAAACTATTTGGCACTCTCCACCGCAGGGACGGATCAAGATCAATGTGGATGCGGCTCTCCTATCATCTTATAAGGCTGGAATTGGAGGTTGCTTTAGAGATGATAAAGGAAAATTATTGGTGGCCTTTGGAGAAAACAAAATTCATTGGGACATTGCAAATCTTGAGCTAGCAGCTGTGGTTTCTATCAGGAAATACTAACAATCGTGGATGATTGAATGCAAAGGGCTCATAATAGAAGGTGATAACATTAATGTTATCAAATTCATTCAAGATTCTTTGAATAAGGCAAAGTGGCAAAGCTACAACCGGATAGAGGAGAATCTTCTATTCTTGGCCGATTTCAATAAGGTAATTTTCAACCATATACATAGGAATAGTAATAGAGTAGCCGACATGTGTGCTACAATGGCTTTAGATTACAATTTTTGTTTTGATAGTTTTTCTTTTATAAACATCCCTTCTTCTCTAGACTATCTTTTGAAGAAGGAATGTGAACATTTGCTTTAGTTTGTACCTTTATTTTCTTTCCTTTAATACATTTTCTATTGCAATCTTCAAAAAAAAAAAAAAAAGGAAGCTCAAGAAACTATATGCTAATTTTAAAACTGATTTTTAAACTCTACAGAAAAATCATGAATGCCTGAAAATATCATTCCACTTTAGATAGCAATCATATAACTTTACTTGAAGAATTTGATGAATTAAATAAAAAGCATCTTTACTTTACTAATGAGCATGATTCCTTAAAAAGTTTACATGTTTAACTAAAAAATGTATATAAAGACTTAGATACTCTTGCATCTGAATTAGATATTAGGGAGCATCATTTGAAAATAGAAAGTCAATTCTTTAATATGCAAATATGCTCTTAGTAGCTAAATTAACTACTTTCAAAGAAAATAAAAAAAACAACTTACAATGGAAGCATTTCACAATCCTTCACATCAACATGCATCATTCAAACCTAGGAAGAGGCACCATAACCCAAATAGATTACTAAATCCTTTTCTTGTTGTTAGATGTTTTTCTTGTGTTATTCTAGGAAATATCTTCCACACTTTCACCATTCATCGTAGAACACATTTGGTGTGAAGACCAAAACTTCAAAATATACATCATATTATGCATGCATTTCATTCTTCTTTCCATAAAATGGGACCAAACCTATTTGGGTTCCTAAATCTAGCATATGATGATTTTGTAGGTGTTGTCTCACAAAAGTCCTCATGAGAGAATGTTGTACCTAGATAGTGGATGTTCAAGTCATATAATTGGAGATGCAAATCAATTCATTTCAATGGAGGCCATGGCATGTGGCAAGAAAATACCACCAGAAGTGTGGTGGGTATAATTAGCAACTCTAAAAGTTTCATTATAAAAAATATTTTACTAGTAGATGGCTTGAAACATAACCTGCTCAGCATAAGCCAGCTCTGTCATAAAGGTTTCAACATCAAATTCTTATCTACCATCTACATAATAAGCTTAAATGACAAAACTATTTTATAGGAAGGAGATTCAATAATGTATACATGCTTGAACTAAATTTCATTAAATTTGACACAACTCTTTACTTAAAAATTGCTGTTGATTAATCTTAGTTAGGACATAGGAGATTGTCTCATGCAAGCATAAAAAACCTTAGGAAAAGCACCCAAAAAGACTTTTTGATATGAAGTCCCAAACTAGAGTTCACAAAAGACCATCTATGTGATGCCTCTCAATTAGGGAAAGAAGTTAAATCCTCTTTCCACTCAATCAAAGATGTAAACACTAGCAAACCCATAGAAGTCCTACACATGGATCTCTTTGGACCTGTCAGCACTATAAGCTTTGGAGGGAAAGTTTTTAGGTATGTGATTATTGATGATTATTCAAAGTTTACTTGAGTTAGATTCCATTCTCATAAAAGTGAATCATTCAAGGAGTTTAAGTATTTTTCCACTTGGATTCAGAGGAAGCCAAGTTGTGAAAAACTAAGTATTCATAATGATTATGGTGGAGAATTTGAGAATAAGAAAATTGAAGTTTTATGTAAGGAGCAAGGTATATATCAAAACATTTTATCTCCTAAAACTCCTTAGCAGAACAGGGTTGCTAAAAGAAAGAACAAGACCCTGGTAGAAACCACTAGAGCTATGTTAGTTGAATATTCACTTCTAAAATACTTTTGGTCAGAAGAGGTGAATATAGAATGTTATATTATGAATAGGGTGTTAGATCTAAATTTAACAAGACATCCTATAAAAATCTAAAGGGAAGGGCACCCAACCTCTCTTACCTCCATTTCTTTGGATGGAAAGTGTTCATTCTGAATAATGAGAAATCTCTACTATGAAAGTTTGACCAAAAATTTAATGAAGGAGTGTTCCTAGGTTACTCAATTATTGAAAAATCCTATAGAGTCTTCAATAAAAGAATACTGATTATTGAACAAACCACACATATTGTATTTAATGAATCTGATAATTTTGGAGGGTCTAGAGTAGAAGAAGAAGAGGTTGTAGAAGAAACCATCGATTAGAATCTATAAATATGGAGGAAATGGTAGAACCTAAAAACATTTTGCCTACAGAATGGAGATATTCCTTAAGTAGTTCTAAGGAATTAATCTTAGGAGATCCATCTAATGGTGTTAGAACAAAGCATGCACTTAAAAAAGAAGTAAACCACTCTACCTTCATCTCAATGATTGAACCCACCATCCTAAATTAAGCTC